AGCCATGTACAGTGGACAGGGATGCTAACCCGGTCTGCCCTCAGAGCCAGCACCTGGGCTGAGTTGCTCAACTTTCCTTGGCCAGAAAGGATTTTATCCTGGCTGGTGGGGCTTTTTCACCCCATCTTCTTTGGTATCAGTTTGAGACTTCTCCCTCCATCTGGTATCAGCCTGTCTTCAGGTACCACGCTGTGCTCCAGGTCTGAAGGGAATGGGCCCAAGATGGTGCCATAAGGTGGCGTTTGGCCTCTTTCCTTTGGGGTCTCTCTGACAGACTCACCATATTTGCACTGAGCAATGCAGCTGGGTAGTTACTGCTGGCTTTTTTTTCCTAGTGAAAATTTTCCATTCCTTAACTATACGAGGTAGCCCTAATGCAGCCTCAGATAAGCAGCTTTGTAAAGGGCATGGTTTGGCAGGTGGGACAGCAGCTAAATGGCAGCTAGTCAAAGGTGAATTCTCGGGGACTGATGTGCTCTTCTGCTCGTTAATTTTTTTTATTCATTCCATCGATACCTGTAGGAAGAGAGCTGTGTAGCCCTGCTTGGCTTGCCTCCTAGTGATGCTAAATCATAAGATCATAGAATGGTTTGGGTTGGAAGGGACCTTTAAAGATCAGCTAGTCCAAATAACATCCTGCCCAAGTACTTGCCCTTTGGGATTCCATTACTTTAAATTTTGTTTTTCAAGGGCAAAATAGTTGTTAAATAAGGAAAAAAAAAAAAAAAACCAAAAAAAACAAAACAGCTGCACCACTGAACAAATCTGGTCTTACCCTGTGCAGTAGCTTGGCAACTCCTTCCCCCACAGTCCTGGCATTTCTTGTTCTCAGCAACATTGCCATTTTCATTTGTAAAGTTTCCCAGTTAAGACTTTTTTTTTTTTTTTTTTTTTTTTTGCTTATTCTGACCTAGTTCATTTCTGAGAGCAGGAAAAATTCTGATCCCTCCAATTAAAAGCTCATTGTTGCCCTTTTGCCAGTTTTAATAAGCAATCTCAGTCCACAGTAACAATTATATGTCATCAAGCTTTCCTGCCTACGCATTTCTCCTCATGGCAACATTTTACCACTCAGCATCATAAAAAAACTGGCTCATGTCTCCAGATATTAGAAAGCTGGTCTTTCTTGACTAATGGATAGCAAGTACAGCTGGCAGGCCACCAGAAAGGCCAGAAATGCAGAGTTTGTCTCAAACTGTTACCTGACAGTTGCTTGTGTTGCTCCTCCATCTGTAGGAGGCTGTGATTTT